GGCTTCCTCTCAATTGCCCGCATAGGCACAGCCACAGCTATGAGGAAGGACCCGTTTATAGTAATCATGGAGAACATGCATGGGTTGTCTCCAGCCCCTTTCTTGGCCTTTTGTGGGTTTGCCCATTGAGAACAATTGTGGAACTAGCTTATTGACCCTTTCCCTGTGCTTCTGGCTGCCTTTTCTGCCCAGGGTCCAGGGCTCTTGTTTGGGTGCTGTTGAAGTAAAAGCTGCCTCTTCTGGATGCCCGTCCAGTGCACACCATGTGCTTACCACACGCCCACCTGAACCAGCCCTGCCCACAAGGCCTCTGAATCTGTCAGAGCTGCCCTTGTTTGGGGTGATGGATGGGAGGCGGATGAATTATGGAAACCAGATGTAAAGCCAGGATCTCAGTAAATAGTCATTGAATGAAATAATTCTGAGTTCAAGTCCTAAATGAAAGTATTGGTAGCCTTTGGAATTCTACTGGGAGGGTCTGCCCACGGCGCCATTGACTGACTCTTAGATGTCCTGTGTACCTACCTGCACCATCCTAGATGCTGTATGAAGATATGAAGGAATCAGGAGATAATTTTCTACTTTCACGAAAACTGTTTGAATCCTAGAATATCGTAGAATATTTAGCAGTTTTGTTACTAAAACAGAGTTTAAGAAGGTGGCCTCCCAGAATTCAGGTTAATCTGTTTCCTGTGTCCTATTTCCTGCAATACATGTAGCTGCCACCAGATGGTAGTGGTGTTCTGATAAAGGCTGGTAAATAATTCCTTACCAGCCTCTTTGGAAAACAGTACTTTGGGCTGGACATGGTGGGCTCATGCTTGTAATCCCAGCACTTTGGGAGGTCAAGGTGGGTGGATCATTTGAGGTCAGGAGTTGAAACCAGACTGACTAACATGGTGAAAACCATCTCTACTAAAAATACAGGAAAAAAAATTAGCCAGGCATGGTGGTGCATGTGTGTACAGCTAGTGCTCGACTTACGACCACGATTGGTTCCGACGGACCGGTCGTAACACGATTTGATCGTAAGTTGAGTAGGCTATATGTACCGTACTGTGAAATGATGTTATAAAAATCTTTGTTTTTTTGTTTTTTTTTTTTTTTTTTTTGAGACGGTGTTTCGCTCTTGTTACCCAGGCTGGAGTGCAATGGCGCTATCTCGGCTCACCGCAACCTCCGCCTCCTGGGTTCAGGCAATTCTCCTGCCTCAGCCTCCTGAGTTGCTGGGATTACAGGCACGCGCCACCATGCCCAGCTAATTTTTTGTATTTTTTTTAGTAGAGGCGGGGTTTCACCATGTTGACCAGGATGGTCTTGATCTCTCGACCTCGTGATCCACCCGCCTCGGCCTCCCAAAGTGCTGGGATTACAAGCTTGAGCCACCGCGCCCGGCCTATAAAAATCTTTAAGTCATATTTTATCATAATTTTCTTTCATTATTATATATCATAATTTTCTTTGTTCATTTTATGCCATTTGTATCATCTCTACACCATTTTGTTTCTTATTTTTACATTCGTCAGGTTTAAGTAAAACACTGCATTACCAGTACAACTGGTTTAATATTTGCAAAACATACAAAATTACAAAATACAGGTGCATACAAAAATACAAAATACAGGTGTAAAAAATACCATAGGAAACATTTTCCCAATTGCAAAACATATCAAAATATATAAACATGTATGAAACATTTTATTGGCAATTCCTCTTGGTAGACATCTTGGGAGGGGTTTGATGAAAAATATCCAAGACACAAAACACAAATTGCTGTACCGAGTCTGGGATAACAGTTGAAATGGTGCACGCGGAGATGGTAGTGCTGCCGGAAGCTGGTCCACACTGTCGTACGCCCAGCTGGGCAATGTTTGCACTGCCAGACGCAGAGCAGTCGTGGCTATCAATTGTGGTTGTAAAGTCGAATGGTCATAAGTTGCATAGGTCATAAGTCGATCAATGCCTGTAATTCCAGCTACTTGGGAGGTTGAGGCAGGAAAATTGCTTGAGCTCAACAGTGGAGGTTGCAGTGAGCCAAGATTGTGCTACTGCACTTCCAGCCTAAGGGACAGAGTGAAACTCTTATCTCAAAAAATAATAGGGCCGGGCGCGGTGGCTCAAGCCTGTAATCCCAGCACTTTGGGAGGCTGAGGTGGGTGAATCACGAGGTCAAGAAATCGAGACCATCCTGGTCAACAAGGTGAAACCCCGTCTCTACTAAAAATACAAAAAATTAGCTGGGCATGGTGGTGCGTGGCTGTAATCCCAGCTACTCAGGAGGCTGAGACAGGAGAATTGCCTGAACCCAGGAGGCAGAGGTTGCGGTGAGCTGAGATCGCGCCATTGCACTCCAGCCTGGGTAACAAGAGCGAAACTCCGTCTCAAAATAATAATAATAATAATAGTAATAATTTTTTTTAGTAAGAAAACCAATATTTTGTAAAGTTGAAGATAGGCCAGGCGCAGTGGCTCACGCTTGTAATCCCAGTACTTTGAGAGGCCGAGGCAGGCAGATCATGAGGTCAAGAGATGGAGACCATCCTGGCCAACATGGTGAAACCCCATTTCTACTAAAAAATACAAAAATTAGCTGGGAATGGTGGTGCGTGCCTCTAGTCCCAGTTACTGAGGAGGCTGAGGCAGGAGAATTGCTTGAACCCAGGAGGCAGAGATTGCAGTGAGCCAAGATCATGCCACTGCACTCCAGCCTGGCAACAGAGCGAGACTCTGTCTCCAAAAAAAAAAAAAAAAAAGTTGAAGATAGTAGGCGCACCCCATGACCTAGCACTTCAATCCACAGGACTAGGGTGCATGCACATACAGCGAAACACCACTAGCAGTACTGTCTGTAACGGTCCCAAACTGGGGTCAGCAGGAGAATGGATACTGACATCATGGTATATTTCTTTTTTTTTTTTTTTTTTTTTTTTGAGACGGAGTTTCGCTCTTGTTACCCAGGCTGGTGTGCAATGGCGCGATCTCGGCTCACCGCAACCTCCGCCTCCTGGGTTCAGGCAATTCTCCTGCCTCAGCCTCCTGAGTAGCTGGGATTACAGGCACGCGCCACCATGCCCAGCTAATTTTTTTGTATTTTTAGTAGAGACGGGGTTTCACCATGTTGACCAGGATGGTCTCGATCTCTCGACCTTGTGATCCACCCGCCTCGGCCTCCCAAAGTGCTGTGATTACAGGCTCGAGCCACCGCGCCCGGCATCATGGTATATTTCTACTATTTAGCAACGAAACTGAAATCTGCAGTTGCATGCAGCAATCTTACAAACATAATATTTAGCAAATGATGTCTATAGTAATTCAGTGTAACCAGGAAGGTGTGTGTCTCTGAGGGAGGGAGAGGATTGGATCAGAAAGGCACATGCGAAGGCTTATGGATCACCTCGATGCTGGCTACATGGGCACTTGCTTTCTCATTGATAAACTCTGCATGTATGTGCTGGCACTATTCTGTATGTGAGGGCTGCAGGTCTGGTACTGCCAACCTCTGGGCTCTGAACAGGTGGATGCTTACTCCACGTCACCTGTGTGTCCAAACAAGATGTGCTAATCACATCATTTCATTTCTGTGCCAGTTTTACTGGTGAAGTAACCAAGGCTTACAGAAATTGAATAGCTGGCTCTGGTCACCTGGTCCTCAGTGGCAGTGCTGAGATCCTCACTGGATCTGCCTGGCACAGAGCGTGGGGTGGCTACCCCATATCTCTTCCTCTTACTGATCCTGGGTCACATGTCTTTCTGCTTAGAAATTCTCCTGCTTGGCCAGGCACTTGTGGCTCATCCCAAAGTGCTGTGGCTCAATCCCAGCACTTTGGGAGGTCGAGGCGGGCAGATCATGAGGTCAGGAGATCAAGACCATCCTGGCTAACATGGTAAAACCCCGTCTCTACTAAAAAATACAAAAAGTTAGCTGGGCATGATGGTAAGCACCTGTAGTCCCAGATGCTCGGGAGGCTGAGGAAGAAGAATCGCTTGAAACCGGGAGGCAGAGGTTGCAGTGAGCTGAGATTGCACCACTGCACTCCAACTTGGGCTACAGAGAGAGATTCTGTCTCAAAAAAAAAAAAAAAGTGTTCTAGGGTGACGACACATTGTAGATTTTGTTTTAGTTTTTTATTTTATTTATTTATTTTTGAAACAGTCTTGTTCTGTTACCCAGGCTGGAGTGCAGTGGCACAATCTCAGCTCACTGCAACCTCTGCCTCCCCGGTTTAGGAGATTCTCCTTCCTCAGCCTCCCAAGTAGCTGGGATTACAGGCACGCACCACCACGTGTATTTTTAGTAGAGATGGAGTTTCACCATGTTGGTCAGACTGGTCTTGAACTCCTGACCTCAGATGATTCACCCACCTCAGCCTCCCAAAGTGCTGGGATTACAGGCTTGAGCCACCGCGCCCGGCCCTGTTTTACTTTTTTACATTTAAGAAAGGGAAAGGCCGGGCACGGTGGCTCAAGCCTGTAATCCCAGCACTTTGGGAGGCCGAGGCGGGTGGATCACAAGGTCAAGAGATCGAGACCATCCTGGTCAATATAGTGAAACCCCGTCTCTACTAAAAATACAAAAAATTAGCTGGGCACGGTGGCGCATGCCTGTAATCCCAGCTACTCCGGAGGCTGAGGCAGGAGAATTGCCTGAGCCCAGGAGGTGGAGGTTGCGATGAGCCGAGATCGCGCCATTGCACTCCAGCCTGGGTAACAAGAGCGAAACTCCGTCTCAAAAAAAAGAAAGGGAAAAAAGCATATCAGCCATTGAACTGAGAAGGAAAGGGATTTGTGCCCACTATCAGAAGGCTGGGCTGTGGCAGGCTGGAGCAGGCAGGCAGGCGTTTCTGAAAGCTTGAGAGGGCAGGAGGCCGGAATGGGCTTTGGATCCCTTGTACTGGGGCAAGCTTCTCTCTGGCCTGGGTCCCTTCCTGGGGCTCATGGGCTGGGGAGCTGGGAGGAAGGCTAGGGCTACAGCATACAGACTCTTCCTTGTTCTCCCACAGGAGGCCTGTGCAACCTGTGCCCAGACAGAGCCAACAAGGAACACATCCTGCAGGCAGGAGGCATCCCTCTCATCATCAACTGCCTGTCCAGCCCCAACGAGGAGACGGTGCTGTCCGCCATCACCACGCTCATACACCTGGGCGCACCGGGCCCCTGCTGCCCCCCAGAGCTGACCGCCGCACCCGTGGTGCAGTGCATGCTACGCTTCTCCCTCTCAGCCAGTGCCAGGCTCCGGAACCTGGCGCAGATCTTCCTGGAGGACTTCTGCTCCCCAAGCCAGGTGGCCGAGGCCCGCAGCCGGCAAGCGCACTCTGCCCTGGGTATCCCAATGCCTAGGAGCGTGTCCCCACAGCAGCGCTGATCCATGGAAACCTCAAGACTATAGCACTCCTACTGCTGGAGACCATGGGCCTGGTGTGGACACAGGGCACAGGGGGAGGACATGCTGCCCAAATGGTGCCTTTTCGGCCATTGGAAAGGCGAATTCTTTCAGCAGGACAGGTAGTTACACTGTGATGAAATGCCATTCAGTTAAGGAACACATCCTGCCAGTTAAGGAAGTCAGACTCAGAGATACATGAAGAAACTGGAGCTGCTTCCATAGGCCTGCACTCAACCCTATGTCCAGTGCCACCACTGCCAGGCAGTGTTGTAAGCAGCTGCTATGTAGCCAGGCGCAGTGGCTCACACCTGTAATTTCAGCACTTTGGGAGGCCGAGGCAGGCGGATCACAAGGTCAAGAGATCGAGACCATCCTGGCCAACATGGTGAAACCCTGTCTCTACTAAAATACAAAAATTAGCCAGGCACACAGTGGCACACGCCTGTAATCCCAGCTACTCGGGAGGCTGAGGCAGGAGAAATGCTTGAACCCGGGAGGCAGAGGTTGCAGTGAGCCGAGACTGCACCACTGCACTCCAGCCTGGCGCCTGGTGACAGAACAAGACTGTATCTCAAAAAAAAAAAAAAAAAGCCACATTCCTGGACCCAGAGGCTTTGCAGGAGTGTTCTCAGCAACTGAGACTGAGGCTTAAGAGAGCTACCGTCATAGCAGGAAATAAGGGATTAACCTTAACAGAAGTGTCCGGAGTAGTTTTCCGGGACAGATGCCTCATGGTGAAAGGATCTCACCCTGGGAAGGTGTGGTGCCCCCTTGAGGGCTGTGGAGGATGGATACCTCCCCCAGGGGCTCTCCAGGCCGGGCATTTGGGTGTGGGGATGCCAACCTGGATAACCTGTGGCCCAGCATGAATCGTCTGCCCAGCCCTGCTTTCTGCCAGGCACCGGGTAAGAGACTCCAAGATGAAGATGGGGTCCCTGCCCTTGAGTGACACAGCCCGGTGACTTAACATGGCCATCAGGCATCAAGAAAAGGCCATGCGAGCCGGGCGCGGTGGCTCAAGCCTGTAATCCCAGCACTTTGGGAGGCTGAGGCGGGTGGATCACGAGGTCAAGAGATCGAGACTAGCCTGGTCAACATGGTGAAACCCCGTCTCTACTAAAAATACAAAAAATTAGCTGGGCATGGTGGCGTGTGCCTGTAATCCCAGCTACTCAGGAGGCTGAGGCAGGAGAATTGCCTGAACCCAGGAGGCGGAGGTTGCGGTGAGCCGAGATCGTGCCATTGCACTCCAGCCTGGGTTAACAAGAGCGAAAACTCCGTCTCAAAAAAAAAAAAAAAAAAACAAAAAAAAAGAAAAGGCCATGCGAGTGGTGACACATCGGAGTAGAGGCAGGACTGCGGGGAGCTGCACCTTCCCCCCGCGCCCTCCTCCGCTGTCATACTCAGTGATGGGGAGCCCCTACCCCAGAAGTATATCTCGTGAGAGCATCAGGGACGCAGCGAAAGAATGGTTCTCAAGGGAGACAGGAAGAGACAGCAACATAGAGGATGTGGCTCTGCGTCCTTGGTGCGCCCTGGTCAACAACAGAAGGTACGTGGGACCCGATGGAAAGCTGGAGCTCAGGGAAAATGGGGGGTCCTTGCCTCTTGTGTACCCCCTCAAAGCTGATCCCTTAGATGGCCCAGGAATGGCAAATGCTACAGGAATGGTATCCACATGGGCATGGAAATGGGGCAGACTCAGGGGCCACTGGACTCAGAGGGGAGGGCAGGGTTCATCAGCACCCACCCAGGGAGCCTGTCCCTTTACACTCCCAAATAAAGGGTCCTAGAAGACTAGAAAGCCAAGGTCTTTTATTAAAAGGGTCCCGACTAGTTTTCCCACTCTATTTGCATGCCAGCCAGGGTCCAGGGGCTGGGCCCGTGGCCTGGCAGCACAGAGATTACGGTGTCTGCCTGCTCCATTCCACGGGACCAGAGGTACCAGCACGATGCCACCCTGACTCGGCTCTGCGGTGGCCCCTGCGGGCCTGCCCTTCCTTCAGCTCCAGCCGCTGCCGCGGCGTCCCTCTCATTCCTGCTGTGCAGCTCCTCGCTTGCTGTCCAAGATCTCCCTCCAGTTGTCACTCCAGGAGAGCAGCCGTCTCCTTGTGGGGGGCAGGACCAGGTGCCGATTGTGGCAGCAGGTGAACAAGATGTGCTCCCAGCTCGGGGTCTCCTCATGGCCTAGGACAGGAAAGGCAGCTCGCTGTCATCTGGTTATTTTTACTCCCTCTCCCTACTCCAGGTAGGCCAGAGGCCTGGAGGCTGCCAAGGATGACGGATCCAACCTCGAATTGTGTCCTTGTCATCAATGAGCAGGTCCCCCAAGACCACCGTCTTGTCCCTTGTCAGGATAATTCGCTCTAGGAACTGGGGCCCCAGGTGCTGCTCCACCCAGCGGTACTGTGTAGGAGACACAGGTCTGTCAGTAGGGCCTGATGGGAGCCGGAATTCAGGGGCAAGGAGTGGGGCGTAAGCCCTTGAGAGCCCCACCCCCACCCTTCTGGTTTCTGGTAGTTTCTTTTTAAAATCAGGATTTAGGCAGCTCCATGTGCGGTGGGGGACCGGGCAGCCACACCTTCTCACCCACACAGTGGTCGTACTTCAGCAGGGGGCTGGTGCAGATGAAGACCTCCGTGCTGCGAGGAGGAGGACGTGGTCACTGCTAGGAGCCGGGAGCCCGAAGCCCACCCAGGCCTCCGCCCGCCCTCGCCCTCCTTACTCCGGCAGGTCGTTCATCTCCCGCACGGCGTCCAAGGCCCCCGGGATGGGCTCCAGGTCCAGGAAAAAGCCTGGGGCTTCGTACACACTGGCCACTTTGTCCTGAAAGACAAGAGATCTGGGTCCCGGTTTCTGCCTCTGGCAGATCCAGCTCCAGCGAGGACTCGAAGACTCGCAGGGAGCCTCCTAGGAGCTCCGGGCTCCGGGCTCAGGGCTCAGGGCTGCGGAGGGGGCTTCGCTCAGGGGCATGCGCCCACAGGCTCCTCCCCAGGGTGCGCTGCCCGCGGGTGCTGGGGTGAGAGCTCTGCTCCATTCACACCGAAGTGGGTGGCCCCGCCCAGGTGGGGACCCCGCGCCCCCTACCGCCAGGTCGGGCCGCAGGGCGCGGTACTGCTCGCGGGCCAGGAAGCCGCGGCGCTGCTCCAGCGGCACATGCGGCTCCCTGGGGAAACGGTCGCGAAAGCCCCGCAGGAGGCCGGTCTCGAAGTCAGCCAGGACGCCGTCCATGTCCACCAGCACGCGTACGCGCCGCGCCATCACCGCCAGGCCGGGACTGCGGGCTCGTGGGGGCACCAGCCCAGCCGGAAGCGCGGGGAGGGAGAAAGGGGAAGGGAGCGCCGCTTCCGGAGCCGCCGAGTTTATTTGCATAGAACGCTGGTAGACTGGTGCCCGCGCAGCTGGCCCTGCGGTTATGTGAGGCCTTCCTAGGGTTAGGGTACAGGCACGGCTCTAAGGGGCCTTTTTCTGACCCTGCGCTTCTGGTACTCAGCCTTTGTCCCCATCAGCTGCCTCCCAGTTTACAGCAAATGTACCCCACATTACTAGTCGGGGACCGACCTTCCAGGGGTGCAGCAAAGAGATGCCCTGAAATACCGGGAAGGGCGGTGGCTCACGCTTGTAATCCAGCACTTTGGTAGGCGGAGGCAGACGATCACCTTAAGTCCGGAGTTCGAGACCAGCCTGACTAACAAGGAGAAACTCCCATCTCTACTAAAATACAAAAATTAGCTGGGCACAGTGGCGCATGCATGTAATCCCAGCTACTCGGGAGGCTGAGGCAGGAGAATCGCCAGCCTGGCGAACAGAGAGAGACTTCTACCCCCGTGTAGAAAATGCTTAACTGATAAATTTGACTCTCCTTTTTGTGGATTTCATGAAACTTCCTGACTCTACCAAAATCTATTTACCTACAAACTATAAAGCCAGGCACAGTGGCTCAGGCTGGTAATCCCAGCATCCTGGGAGGCCCAGGCAGATCACTTGAGCCCAGGAGTTCAAGACCAGCCTGAGCAACATAGGGAGACCCTGCCGCTACAGTAAATCAATAAGCTGGATATAGTGGTGCATGCCTGTGGTCCCAGCTACTCATGAGCCTGAGGCGGGAGGATCCCTTGAGACCAGGAAGTTGCTACACTGAACCTTCATCCTGCCACTGCGGTCCAGCCTGGGTGACAGAGGGAGGCCCTGTGAGGGGAGGGGGTGCCAAAATTATAAACACAGATTTAAGTGGCCCATCTCACCAGCCCACTGCTTCCAAATACATGTAACAGAAGCATCGCAAAAACAGTCTAAGAAGGTCTCAAGTCAACATGCATACAACTCATAGATACGCAGGCATTTCGGAGGTCCAGACTTGCGACTTATTTCAAGGGGAAGCATTCTTGGGGACTGAGCCCTCAACCTGTGGAATCTAAGCTATCTCTAGGTAGATGATTGTCAGAATTGAATTGGAGGGCCAGGATGGTGGCTCATGCCTGTACTCCCAGCACTTTGGGAAGTCCAAGCAGGCGGATCACTTGAGGTCAGGAGTTCAACACCAGCCTGGGCAACATGGCAAAATCCCATCTCTACTAAAAATACAAAAATTAGCTGGGTATGGTGGCAGGTGTCTATAGTCCCAGCTACTTGGGAAGCTGAGGCAGGAGAATTGCTAGAACCTGAGAGGCAGAGGTTGCAGTGAGTAGAGATCATGCCACTACACTTCAACCTGGGCGACAGAATGAGACAACATCTTAAAAGAAAAAAAAAGTTGGAGGACACTAGCTGGTATCCACTGCAGAACTGCTGCTGGTGGGGAGAAATCCCCACATATGTAAAGTTGGAAAAGACTCTGAGATAGGCTCTTGCTCTATCACCCAGGCTGGAGTGCAGCAGTGGTCTTGGTTGCCTCCAGCTCATGGGCTCAAGTGATCCACCCACCTCAGCCTCCTGAGTGTCTGGGACTACAGGCGTGTGTCATCACACCCACCTGATTTTTTTTTCTTTTTCTTTTTTTTTTTTTTTTTTTTAAGTATGTCCAAATGGACCCGTGACATCCGCCAATAATGTGGAGCAAAAGTGAGAGATGTCCTGGAAGCCATGTATCACTATTCCTGTCATGATGCTGCCATAGAAAAGGCCTACCTCAAGCCGGGCGCGGTGGCTCAAGCCTGTAATCCCAGCACTTTGGGAGGCCGAGGCGGGTGGATCACGAGGTCAAGAGATCGAGACCATCCTGGTCAACATGGTGAAACCCCGTCTCTACTAAAGGTGCAAAAAATTAGCTGGGCATGGTGGCACGTGCCTGTAATTCCAGCTACTCAGGAGGCTGAGGCAGGAGAATTGCCTGAACCCAGGAGGCGGAGGTTGCGGTGAGCCGAGATCACGCCATTGCACTCCAGCCTGGGTAACAAGAGCGAAACTCCGTCTCAAAAAAAAAAAAAAAAAAAAAAAAAAAAAAAAAAAAAAAAAAAAAAAAAGAAAAGGCCTACCTCAAGGATTAGCTGGCATTTTTATACCCGCTGCCATATGCCCCTTGATTTCTAGTACCTTGTGTATTCATCACCAATAGAAGTTTTATTTCCTATCCCTCAGTTTTTCTCATGCTCTCATGCATATTTATATCTTGGTCCAAAATTACTCAATTTTTTTTGTTTGTGGCTCTCTTAGAGTCTTGGTAAATTTTTCAGTGCCCTGTCCCTAGAGCAAAAGAAATACCTACCAGTGCTATTTGTTAATTAGGTCTAAACAACCTGATAAATATTTATGACCTAATAACTTAGTCTGAAAAACTGTATATAGACATTGAAAGAAAATAATTTTATTCATTTTTTTTTTTTTTTTTTTTTTTTTTTTTTTTTTTTTACAGATAGATGGGATGGATGGATGGGTGGACGGATGGATGGGGTGGATGGATGGATGCTTCAAAGACTACTTGATCTAAGCCTATGTTTGCTTCTTGACACACAGGAAGGAGGTAAGAATAAAAGATGGCAGCAGTGACCGAGGTCAATGAGTCCTCCAGTGTGAAACCACGGTGGGAAAAAGGGGTAGGTGTCAGTGCTGGGGATCAGCAAATTCTTTTTTTTTTTTTTATAAAGAAGAGGAAGAAAGAGAAAGAGGAAGAGGGAGAGAGGATGGGGGTATTGCTTTATTGCCCAGGCTAGAATGCAGTCTAAATATGGGTATGCCTACAATTGTCCTCAATAATGGAGACATGAAAGAAAATGAGGGAAGAGAATAACAAACAGGGAGCCAACCAAGATTTCATTTAAACCTCTAAATTGATATGATGTGGTACTGATGAGAGTGTATATTTTGTATATTTAAAGTGGAGAGTTCTATAAATGTTAATTACATTTACTTGTTCCAGATCTGAGTTCAAGACCTGAATATCGTTGTTAATTTTCTGTCTCATTGATCTGTCTAATATTAATGTTGAAGTCTCCCACTATTATTATGTGGGAGTCTAAGTCTCTTTATAAGTCCTGTATGTCTAGGTATTCCTATATTGGGTGCGTATATATTTAGGATCTTTAGCTCTTCTTGTTGTTGCATTGATCCTTTTATCATTATGTAATGTCCTTCTTTGCTTCTTTTGATCTTTGTTGCTTAATTGTAACTTCTGTTTTTTATTTATTTATTTTAGCTCTCTGGTTGGTTGGTAAATCTTTCTCCATCCCTTGTTTAGAGTCTTTGTGTATCCTTGAATGTGAGATGGATCTGGATGCAGCATACTGATGGGTTTTAGTTTTTTATTCAAATTGCCTGTCTTTGGATTGGGGGATTTAGTCAATTTAAATTTGGAATTAATAATAATATATGTGAGTTTAATACTGTCATTAGCTGGCTATTTTGTCCATTAGTTGATATAAATTCTTCATTATATTGATGCTCTTTTTGATAATTTTTTTAGAAAGGCTGATACTGTTTGTTCCTTTCATATGTGTAGTGGTTCTTTCAGAAGCTCTTGCAAAGCAGGCCTGGTGGTGATGAAATCTCTGAGTGCTTGCTTGTTCACAAAAAACTTTATTTTTCCTTCGCATGTGAAGCTTAGCTTGGCTGGATGTGAAATTCTGGGTTGAAAGTTCTTTTCTTTAAGGATGTTGAATATTGGCCCCCACTCTCTTCTGGCTTGTAGGGTTTCTGCTGAGAGATCTGCTGTAAGTCTGATAGGCTTCCCTTTGTGGGTAACCTGACCTTTCTCTCTGGCTGCCCTTAGTATTTTCTCCTTCATTTCAACCCTGGTGAATCTGACGATTATGTGCCTTGGAGTTGCTCTTCTTAAGGAATATCTCTGTGGTGTTCTCTGTATTACCTGGAGTTGAATATTATCCTGCCTTACTAGGCTGGGAAAATTTTCCTGAATAATGTCCTGAAGCGTATTTTCCAGCTTGGATTCATTCTCTTCGTCACATTCAGGTACACCTATCAAGCGTAGATTAGGTCTTTTCACATAGTCCCATATTTCTTGGAGACTTTGCTCGTTCCTTTTTATCCTTTTTTCTCTCGTCTTGTCTTCTTGTTTTATTTCATTGAGTTGATCTTCGACCTCTGATATCCTTTCTTCTGCTTGATCAATTCGGCTGTTAAAACTTGTGCATACTTCACGAAGTTCTCCTATTGTGTTTTTCAGCTCCATCAATTCACTTATTTTCCTCTCTAAATTTTGTATTCTTGTTGACATTTCGTCAAACCGTTTTTCAAAGTTCTTAGTTTCTTTAGATTGTGTTATAACAAGTTCTTTTAATTCACTGAAGTTTCTTATTATCCACGTTTTGAAGCCTGCTTCTGTAATTGGAACCCACTCGTTCTCCATCAAGCCTTGTTTCGTTGCTGATGAGGAACTGGGATCCCCTGCTGAGGAAGAGGCGTTCTGATCTTGGGTATTCTCAGCCTTTTTTGACCGTTTTCTTCCCTTCGTTGTAGATTCATCCATCTGTAGTCTTTATAATCACCGTCTTTGTAATTGGGTTTCTGAGTGGACGTCCAACTTACTGATTCTCAGCGCCGAAATCTGAGCAACCCACTGCACCGACTAAATCAGCGGCGTTAAGATTGAGGGTGCTTTTCCGACTCTGCACCGAGAACCGAAGCTCCGAGGCGCCGGCAAAACCGCCTCGCCGGTCACAAGAGTCGCGCTGGCGACCCGTGGGGCTCCTCCGCTGGGAATCTCCTGGTGCGTGAGCAACAAGAATCCATGTGAAGGTGTGGCGTCCTCTCCTTCTTTGCGCTTTCAGTGGGAGCTACAATCCCGAGCTGCTAGTGATCAGCCATCTTGGATCTCTCTCCGATTTTTTTTTCTTGTATCTTTATTCCATGAAGAATTTGTGGGGGGAGGTGGAGATGAGGTTTCACCATGTTGCCCAGGCTTGGAGAACACTTAACATGTTACCCCAGAACAAAGGGTAGGTGGCAGAAGAGTCTAACCTGCTTATCTTTAGAGACTTCTTCTGAGAGAAACCCACTACTCTCTGGGTCTTCATCTATTTTGTTTTTGTTTTTTAAGGAGGTCTTGCTACGTTGCCCAGGATAATCTCAAACCCCTAGGCTCAAGCATCCTCTTGCCTCAGCATCCCAAGTAGCTAATTACAGGCACACCCAGCTATTTTAATTTCAAATGACTCATCCAATCAGTGGGTAGGATTTTTAGTGACAACAAGAAAAACATCTAACCAGGGAGAACACTGAAACCATCTCAAAAAGAAGACACAGTACACAATGTTTCCAAATGTGGATATTGTTTACTTGAAGCAACAGTCCAGGATTGTGAAGTACAACACACATTTTAAGGATGAGACTTTCCTTTCATGGTCAAGCACCAGCATCATGCACACAGCATCAAGTTATTTAAAACACCCCCCGCCCCCGTGGGACCCCGTTCCTAGATGAAGACCCACTTTGGTGTGACTGCCTCCCTTGCTTCGCTGCTTTTAGTTCCAGCCAGTTTCATTATACATCCAAGCCACCTTCTGCATGAGGGCAGCAAGCTTTGCTCATCAGCCAGCCATGTTACTATCTGGCTACTTCTTAAGGTTAAAAAATAGGCCGGTGGGATGGCCCAAGCCTATAATCTCAACACTTTAGGAGGCCAATGCGGGTGGATCATCTGAGGTCATTGAGACCAGCCTAGCCAACATGGTGAAACCCTGTCTCTACTATATATACAAAAAAATTAGCTGGGTGTGGTGGCAGGCATATGTAATCCCAGCTACTTGGGAGGCTGAGGCAGGAGAATCGCTTGAATCCGGGAAACCGAGGTTGCAGTAAGCCAAGATTGTGCCACTGCACTCCAGCCTAGGCAACAGAGCGAGACTCCATCTCAAAAAAAAAAAGGCTAAAAAATAAAGGGCAGTTTCTTTGCTTTGCAGGCAGCAAGGCATGAGGCACAGGCCTCTTCGTTGTTCCACATGGCACAGGAGGAGGCTCTGAGCAAAGGCCACTGGCAAGTTAGGGCAACACCAAGAAGGCTCTGCGGAGAGACACCCAATGTGCTGGGGCCTGGCGGGAACGGTGCCTGTAGACTGGCTATGGTCTGTCCAGTTGAGGCTTGGTAAACGCAAGTAAAGTTTTGTTAAAACCCCAGTACAAAAGATCCTCTAACACATCTGGAACCAAATTAATTTGTTTTTAAAAACACAGTACTAAGTGTCACAAAGCTTTCCCTCCAATCTACTACTAGAAAACACTCATGCCATGGCCCACAGACCCAGGAGTCAAGACAGAGAGAAACCTGTTCTTCAAAAGAAAAAAAAAAAAAAGACAGCAGTACATAAAGTGCTTCTTTTTAATGAAACAAATCCAAGAGATGTACAGTCAGGCTCAAGTTGTGCAGTTCACAAGCATGGAGGAAACAAACAAAACGACAGCGTTCAGGACAGGAAGAGTTAACCCAAGACAAGGCTGGACTTGCCACCAGGGGGATTTCTCCTGGATGGCACTGGGGCCGGGGCCACTGGGCTGGGCACAGGCGCAGCAGGCACAGGCTTCTCTTCACTCTGCCCCAGGCTGCCTTGCAAGTCTGTGTCCACATTTTCTGTGAAAACAGAATAGAAATAACACTCATAACCACAGGTATTTCCTGTTAAGACTAAGGGTCCAGCCGGGCGCGGTGGCTCAAGCCTGTAATCCCAGCACTTTGGGAGGCCAAGGCGGGTGGATCACGAGGTCGAGAGATCGAGACCATCCTGGTCAACATGGTGAAACCCCGTCTCTACTAAAAATACAAAAAATTAGCTGGGCATGGTGGCACGTGCCTGTAATCCCAGCTACTCAGGAGGCTGAGGCAGGAGAATTGCCTGAACCCAGGAGGCGGAGGTTGCGGTGAGCCGAGATCGCACCATTGCACTCCAGCCTGGGTAACAAGAGCGAAACTCCGTCTCAAAAAAAAAAAAAAAAAAGACTAAGGGTCTGGTTTTTTTTGTTTTAATTTTCTGTTTGATGGTTGGAAACATACCTAAAAGTATAAAGAAAATAATCATCACCTGCCATGTTCCCACTCCATAGAATTAACCAATGTTCATGTTTTCCCACATTTGTTGTTTACATTCTTTTCTAAATTACAAGAATACGGGCCGGGCGCGGTGGCTCATGCCTGTAATCCCAGCACTTGGGGAGGCCGAGGCAGGCAGATCACGAGGTCAGGAGATCAAGACCATCCAGGTTAACATGGTGAAACCCCACCTCTACTAAAAATACAAAAATTAGCTGGGTGTGGTGGCACACACCTTAGTCCCAGCTACTTAGGAGACTGAGGCAGGAGAATCGCCTGAACCCAGGAGGTAGAATTGCAGTAAGCTGAGATCCACCACTGCAACTCCAGCCTGGGCAACAGAGACTCCATCTAAAAAATATAAATAACAAAGTAAAGAATGAATGCAAAAATTATGTATTTTCTGTAAAAGGAAATTTTTACTAAGAGCTTAATAGTTGAATTAGTTTAGTTTTTTGGGGAGAGTAGGGAAATGGATATTGAGACAGGGTCTCACACTGTGGCCCAGGCTGCAGTGCAGTGGCTCAATCACAGACCACTGTAGCCTCAAACTCCTGGGCTCAAGCAATCCTACATCAGTCTCCCAAATAGCTGGGACTACAGTTGCACACCACCACACCTGGCTTTTTTTTTTTTTTTTTTTTTTTTTTTAAGAGATGGGGTCTCCTTATCTTGCCCAGGCTGCTCTTAAATTCCTGGCTCAAATGATCCTCCTATCTCAGCTTCCCTACCTGCTGGGATTACAGGCACGAGGCACCTTCAACCTTCACCCAGCCTAGTTTTCTTTTCTTTCTTAGGGTTTTTTGTTTTGTTGTTTTTTCTTGAGACAGGATCTTTAACCTCCGCCTCCTGGCTTCAAGTGATTCTCCTATCTCAGCCGGGATTACAGTTGCGCACCACCATGCCAGATTAATTTTCGTATCTTTAGTAGAGACAGGGTTTTGACATGTTGGCCAGGCTGGTCTCGAACTCCTAGCCTCGAGTGATCTGCCCACTTTAGTCTTCCAAAGTGCTCAGATTATAGGCATCAAGCCACTGCATGTGGCCTAGTTTTCTTTTTTTTAATTTTTTCTTTTTGAGATGGAGTCTCGCTGTGTCACCTAGGCTAGAATGCAGTGGCACAATCTCGCCTCACTGCAACCTCCGTCTCCTGGGTTCAAGCGATTCTTCTGCCTCAGCCTCACAAGTAGCTGGGACTACAAGCCTGAGCCACTATGCCCAGCTAATTTTTCTATTTTTAGTAGAGATGAGGTTTCACCATATTGGCCAGGCTGGTCTCGAACTCCTGACCTTGTGATCCACCTGCCAAGGCCTCACAAGGTGTTGGGATTACAGGCGTGAGCCACCATGCCTGGCCTTTTTTTTTTTCTTTTTATAAATTTTTTCAGACAGAGTTTCGCTCGTTTTCCAGGCTGGAGTGCAGCAGCGCAATCTCGGCTCACTGAAAGCTGTGCCTCCCAGGTTCAAGTGATTCTCCTGCCTCAGCCTCCCAAGTAGCTGGGATTACAGGTACCCACCACCCCACTACGCATGACTAATTTTTGTATTTTTAGTAGAGACAGGTTTTCACTGTGTTGGCCAGGCTGGTCTTGAACCCCTGACCTCAGGTGATCTACCCGCCTTGGCCTCCCAAAGGGCTGTGATTACAGGCGTGAGCCACCTCGCCCAGCCGAGAAGTCTTTGAACTAAAAATGTATATTCTTAGATCCAAAACACAACAAAATCTCAGGAATATGCTACTTTTAACATTTCATGAATTTCTGGGACATTCTATGGAAATAACATATAAAATATTCTATACAATGTGACTAAAAGCAAAACTAGAGTATGAAGCTTTCCAGAATGGCAGCCATCACAATCATGAACTGAAACTCACCGAGGGTCACCTATTAGTTTCCTATGGTTACATTGATTGTAAAAAGCAGCAAGGTCAAATGCACTGGATCAGACACACAAGTCCTGCAATAAGTGTCCCTAAAATAACCTAAATTGTAAATATAAAAGAAAAAACTCCACATTAAAAAAAACTCTCGAATTCAGACTAAGACAACTTATTAGTTCAAGTAGTTTCATTTCTGCTGGTGGGACATGGCCTCCTGCTATACATATAGAATCTGACTGAATTCTTCATTCTCTGTCTGAATCAAGCAGTTAATGAATATTCTGAAGAACAAGACATAATCTTATAGCCCTCCCACGGTGGTTTATTTTCTTTTTTTTTTTTTGAGACGGAGTTTCGCTCTTGTTACCCAGGCTGGAGTGCAATGGCACGATCTCGGCTCACTGCAACCTCTGCCTCCTGGATTCAGGCAATTCTCCTGCCCCAGCCTCCTGAGTAGCTGGGATTACAGACACGCGCAACCACGCCCAGCTAATGTTTTGTATTTTTAGTAGAGATGGGGTTTCACCATGTTGACCAGGATGGTCTCGATCTCTTGACCTCGTGATCCACCCACCTTGGCCTCCCAAAGTGTTGGGATTACAGGCGTGAGCCACCGCGCCCGGCCCATGGTGGTTTATTTTCACAAAATGCTCTTTGGATGAATCAAGCTCAATCCTACTAATCTTGTATTTGTCTTTTTTTTTTTTTTTTTTTTTTGAGGTGGAGTTTCCCTCTTGTTACCCAGGCTGGAGTGCAATGGCGCGATCTCGGCTCACCGCAACCTCCGCCTCCTGGGTTCAGGCAATTCTCCTGCCTCAGCCTGCTGAGTAGGTGGGATTACAGGCACGTGCCACCATGCCCAGCTAATTTTTTGTATTTTTAGTAGAGACGGGGTTTCACCATGTTGACCAGGATGGTCTCGATCTCTTGACCTCGTGATCCACCCGCCTCGGCCTCCCAAAGTGCTGGGATTACAGGCTTGAGCCACCGCGCCTGGCTGTATTTGTCTTACATTATTAATAGAACTGTTTTGTTTTTCACAAATACATAACATACCAATAAAGAACAAAAAAGCACACAGGGAGCCTAAACAAGCAGCAGCAGGCCTTAATAAAATTAAAATGTCAGTCCAGGCTGGGCGTGACTCATGCCTGTAATCCCAGCACTTTGGGAGGCCGAGGCAGGCAGATCACCTGAGGTCAGGAGTTCCAGACCAGCCTGGCCAACATGGTGAAACCCCATCTCTACTACAAATGCAAAAATTAGCTGGGCATGGTGAGCAGTGCCTGTAATCCCAGCTCCTCAGGAGGCTGAGGCAGGAAAACTGCTTGAACCTGGGAGGTGGAGGTTGCAGTGAGCCAAGATGCACACCACTGCACTCCAGTCTGGTGGACAAGAGCAAGACTTTGTCTCAAATAAAAAAAAAAAATGTCCAGTTAGAAATAGTCCAGCCACAGAAGAGGGAGGTTAGTTTGTTATTAGCCTATAATGAGATAAGTACAGGAATTGAGATTGTTTAGAAACTTTTATACCAATTTGACACAGAAAGCTTTTGTCTGCTGAATATTTAAATGAAATTATTTCTACCAAAATACACATTTTAGCCACTCCTGACTTGTCTCTCTTCCTTGGCACATCAATAAGGTAACTGAACAAAGACACCTCTATCTGAATAGAAGAAAATGACTCATTGTAAGCATCAAAGAATCAGAACCTGAAGAAAAGTAGCAGACCATCTAACCTGCCTGCAGTTAGGGAAAGACTTTTCTGCCTGAAATTCCTGGACTTTCTCCCTCGTAAAGATTTCTCAAGATGGAAACTCCAAAGTCATTCCTGTAGCCACTCCTGTGTTTAACTGCCCAGGAGGTAAAAGCAATCTTCCTTATACCCTAAGGGAATCCATCTTACTTAAACTGAATTGGGGTTGACCTTTAATCCTCCAGATGTATGTTATTACTGTACCCCAGCCAGGCACGGTGGCTCACACCAGTAATCCCAGTATTTCGGGAGGCCAAGGCAGGAAGATCATCAGGAACCTAGGACCAGCCTGGGAAACATGACAAAACCCTGTCTCTACAAAAAATACAAAAATTGGCTGGCGCAGTGGCTCATGTCCATAATCCCAGCACTTGGGAAGGCCAAGGCAGGAGGATCACCTTAGGTCAGGAGTTTGAGACCAGCCCGGCCAACATGGCGAAACACCATCTCTACTGAAAATACAAAAATTTTAGCCAGGCGTGGTAGCACACACCTGTAGTCCCAACCACTCAGGAAGCTGAAGCAGGAGAATCACTTAAACCCAGGAGGTGGAAGTTGCAGTGACCTAAGATCGTGCCACTATACTTTAGAATGGGGGACAGAGATCTGGCTCTAAAAAAAAAAAAAAAAAAAGTCTGGGTTCAGTGGCTCACACCTGTAATCCCAGCACTTTGGGAGGCTGAGGCGGGTGGATCACAAGGTCAGAAGATCAAGATTATCCTGGCCAACATGGTGAAACCCGTCTCTACTAAAATAAAAAAAAATTTAGCCAGGCGTGGTGGCACTGTGGTCCCAGATACTCAGGAAGCTGAGGCAGGGGAATTGCTTGAACCTGGGAGGCAGAGGTTACAGTAAGCTGAGATCTTGCCATTGCACTCCAGCCTGGCAACAAAGCGAGACTCCATCTCAAAAAAAAAAAAAAAAAGTTTCTTGGGCCGGGCGCGGTGGCTCACGCCTATAATCCCAGCACTTTGGGAGGCCAAGACGGGTGGATCATAAGGTCAGGATATCGAGACCATCCTGGTCAACAAGGTGAAACCCTGTCTCTACTAAAAATACAAAAAATTAGCTGGGCATGGTGGCGCGTGCCTGTAATCCCACCTATTCAGGAGGCTGAGGCGGGAGAATTGCCTGAACCCAGGAGGCAGAGGTTGCGGTGAGATCACACCATTGCACTCCAGCCTGGGTAACAAGAGCGAAACTCTGTCTCAAAAAAAAAAAAAAAAAAAAATTAGGCTGGGCACAGTGGCTCACAAGATCAAGAGACTGAGGCCATCCTGGCCAACATGGTGAAACCCTGTCTCTAATAAAAATACAAAAATTAGCTGAGCATGGTGGCACGTGCCCGTAGTCCCAGCTACTCAGGAGGCTGTGAGGCAGGAGAATTGCTTGAACTCAGGAGGCCGAGATCACGCCACTGCATTCCAGTCTTGCGACAGAGCAAGACTCTGTCTCAAAAAAAAAAAAAAAAAGATTAGCTGTTTCACGTATACACCCACACACACCCCCTGTGTGTTTTTGTCCACAGCTACTGGCCGGTAACTCCCATAACCCCCTTGCTACAGTCTTTTGAAATGGTCCTCAGGAAACAGAATCTCTCTGTGGCCTCCTGTCTTCCTTCTATCTGCCCAGGGTGAGGCTATATTCTGATGGCAGGTCAAAAGACCCTCAATCCAGAGAGTCCTGCTGCATACCCTGAGGAAAGAATGCTACAGAGAGGCCAAGAAGAATCTGAACAAATGGGCCTTGCTGGGTTTCCCCGCTCTGCCCACTGTTATAAAATCAAACCCTTTTTGTCTAATCATATTTCTATACAGTTGTCAATTATGCCACTGTAATGAAGCCTCCATAAAAATAACAAGAGGCCAGGCATGGTGGCTCACACTTGGAATCCCAGCTACTCAGGAGGCTGAGGCAGGAGAATTACTTGAACCTGGGAGGTGGAGGTTGCAGTGAGCTAAGATCATGCCATTGCACTCCAGCCTGGGCAAAAAGAGTGAAACTCGGCCAGGTGCGGTGGCTCATGCTTGTAATCCTAAGCACTTTGGGAGGCTGAGGCGGGTGGATCACTGGAGATCAGTTCAAGACCAGCCTGGCCAACATGGTGAAACCCAGTCTGTCTTAAAAATACAAAAATTAGCCAGGCGTGGTGGCGCACGCCTGTAATCCCAGCTACTGGGAAGGCTGAGGAAGGAGAATTGCTTGAACCTGGGAGGTGGAGGTTATGGTGAGCTAAGATTGTACCACTGCACTCCAGCCTGTGGAAGGAAGACTCTCTCAAAAAAAAAAAGAAAAGAAAAGAAAGAAAAGAAACAGTGTGTGAGAAGGCAGGAGAGGAATTTGCTTCTTCAACCTTTCTGTGTGTCCTGGTATGCACTACACCACAAAACATAAGGGTAGGAAAAGACCTTAAGAGGAAGCTGCTGCTTCCGTCTAGACCAGAGGGCCTTGTGACTGCTGCTGCCTGATCTGCTGCCTGATACTTCTCAGCCTCGAATTCATCAGCAATTCTCCAGCACTTGTTAAAGAAATGCCAACAAATACTTCCAAGACTTAAGGTAATTAAGTCAATGATTACAGCTCATTTCTACCTATAATTGGTAATATGGATGGTTAGCTCGAAATTTACATCTGCCCCTTAAATAATTATTTACAAAATCACCAAGTAACCAATGTGTTGCTGAAATAAACACATCCCTATAAAAACAAATGAACTTTGTAAATTGGATGCTGTGCGCTGAGCTTGAAATGCTTATCTTAAAAAGCTCTCTGGCTGGTAGTGAGTTATCTGGATTGTTCAGTTATGGGTCCAGCTTTCTCTTCTCAATCCTGCACTTGGCTAGTCTACGATAAGTACATAAATACAATAAGTACATAAATACAAAAAGCTCTCAGCTGGGCGCTATGGCTCATGCTTGTAATACCAACACTTTGGGGATGCTGAGGTGGAAGGATCACTTAAGCTCACGGGTTCGAGACTAGCCTGGGCAACATAGTGAGACCTCATCTCTACTAAAAATAAAAAGAAATTAGCAAGGTGTGGTGGCATACACCTATAGTTCCAGCTACTTAGGAGGCTGAGGTGGGCGGATCACCTGAGGTCAAGGCCACAGTGAGCTGTGATCGCCCACTGCACTCCAGCCTTGGTGACAGAGAGACATCTGATCTCAAAAAAAAAAAAGCTCTCATTAAGTGTAACAAATACTGACCTGATTAAATGTGGGTGTATGTGTCTGAGTATAGATATATTTGGGTTTATTTTTTTGAGGCAAGGTCTCACTATGTCGCCCAGACTGGAGTATAATGGTGTGATCTCTGCTTACTGCAACCTCCACGTCCTAGGCTCAAGCAATCCTCCCACATGAGCCTCCTGAGTCATTGGACTACAGACATGTGCCACCATGCCAGGCTATTTTGTATTTCTTTATAGAGATGGGGTTTCACCATGTTTCCAGGCTGGTCTTGAACTCCTGGGATCAAGCAATCTGCCTGCCTCAGCCTGTGTTGAGATTAAAGGCGTGAGCCACCACACCCAGTCAATATATGTAATTTTAAAGGATTCTCCGATTTTTCTCTTCTATTACATTTCTAGCACCGATGGCATTACTGGCAGATTAAGAATGTGGCCATGTTTACTAACTTTCCAGTTTCATTTTCGTTTCCTCTCCACGCAGAGAATGGCAGCACTTGGGGCACAGCCAGGTTTCACTCCCCAGTCTCTTTCCCCAAGACATGATTTTATTTATTTATTTAGAGATGGGGTCTTGCTTTGTCACCCAGGCTGGAGTGCTGTTGTGCCATCTCAGCTCACTCCGCCCCTCAGATTCAAGTGATTCTCCTACCTCAGCCTCCAGAGCAGCTGGGATTATAGGTGCCTGGCACCACGCCTGGCTAATTTTTGTATTTCTCTTTTTTTGTTTGAGACAGAGTTTTGCTCTTGTTACCCAGCCTGGAGTGCAATGGTGCGATCTCAGCTCACCATAACCTCCGCCTCCTGGGTTCAAGCAATTCTCCTGCCTCAGCCTCCCGAGTACCTGGGACTACAGGCGCACACCACCATGCCCAGCTAATTTTTATATTTTTAGTAGAGATGGGGTTTCACCTTGTTGACCAGGATGGTCTCGATCTCTTGACCTCGTGATCCATCCGCCTCGGCCTCCCAAAGTGCTGGGATTATAGGCATGAGCCACCGCGCCTGGCTAATTTTTGTATTTCTAATAGAGACGGAGTTTCACCATCTTGGCCAGGCTGGTCTTGAACTGCTGACCACGAGATCCACCTGCTTTGGCCTCCCAAAGTGCTGGGATTACAGGCGTGAGCCACCGCGCCCAGCCGACATGATTTAAATCAAATTTCAGATCTGTCCTAAAACCACTGACAGAGCCAGAAATTTGGTCTTCAGAAGTACTCACCATGAATATCAGCTTCTCCCTAGAAAAGAAAAACATTCAAAAATTTACTTCCTATTTTAATTTTGGAACACAAAAAAATAGTCATAGTTGATAGCAGCTAAAATTTATTTGACACCAAATGTGACATTTCATTTTGATGCAATCAAGCCCAGGGTCAGTCTACTACCTCTGTCCAACTTAGGACAGTGCTATGTAAATATTCTGCATGAGAAATTGCCCTGGTGCCAGAACACATTGAAAACAAAAAACCTAAACATTTACCCTGATGACCCCACCCCAATGAGCATTTCAGAGATCTTGCATTAGAATGGAAAACTGGTAAATCTATCCTTCCATTTGTCTCTCTCCTTTCCCCTTATCTAGTTGTGGAAGGTCGCCTATCGGTTCCATAGCCCTTCTCCAGTTCTCTCCACACTCAGACAGGTGATGCCTCAATGTGCTCTGAGGGCTTTGGTGGGGAGGTCTGTCCAACACACACCGTAGGGAGCTTGGTGGCAGTACTCAACTCCAGACACAACTAGTGGTCATGCCAGCACTAGTCTCCTGGAGTTCCAGGCAAAGCAGTATTAGCAAAAAACAGTCCCTAAACTCAGAAATGTTTCTATCTATGTGACACACAGGAAGTAGAAAGATCCACAAGTTCCAAAAATTGATACAGGAGATAAAACAAATCCTAATGGTAAAAGAGACACAGAAACAGACTGAGATCATGTTAATGCACTTCTCTGCTTTTACTCTATCAATCTTCCACTACCAACATGGCCCAGTCCCTTTCCTAACTACCTCAACGTAAAACGCCAGTGGCAGAACTGAAACTCTTAGTACAAATTTCAGAATCGTATTGACCTCGAAGCCTTTCTGTCCTCATGCTGTCTGTCACACTGACCTTCAGATCTAAGAAGTCTCCAGAGCTTGCTTCTGAGGAGTTCCTTCTCTGCAGTCCAGATGACTCTAAGTCTTCCCTGCCACCACTAGACTTGGCACCTAAAATTCAAAATATACTTTCTTCAGAAATACAACAGAAAAAATCTAAAACAAAGCAGTTCAGCAATTGACATTATGTGTTAGTCTCATATTACAAAATGAGAAAACAGTCTTAAGGAAGTTAAGCTAATTACTTAAACGTTAACCCAGTCTGACTTCAGTCCCGACGGATCCATCACACAGCCTCCTAGTATTTCCCATCGCTTTCCTCTCATGTTAAATCTAAACTGTTGTTTTATTACCATTAAGCTAGATTTTGTTATTAGTTCAAAACCAGCTGTAGTTAATTTCTCTTTTGTTTGTTTTTGACACAGGGTTTCACTCTGTCATCTAGGCTGGGGGGCAGCGGTTCAATCACAGCTCACTGTAGCCTCCACCTCCCAGGCTCAAGCAATCCTCCCACCTCAGCCTCCCGAGTATTAGAGACTACATGCACACTGCCCCTACCACCAGCTAATTTTTATTTTGTTTTATAGAGATGGGGGCACACTTTGGTGCCCAGGCTGCATCTGTGGCTGTCGATACTGGGCCCACACCTTTGAAAAGTGAGCACAGATAACAAGAATACCTGCTGACTTGGCCCAAGAAGCTTGATTTTCCTCAGGTGTCCCAAAGATATTAGAAGCCATTTTGTTCTTCCTCACAGGTTGCTCTGTTGGTTCATCAAAACCTAATGAAAAATTGGATCCACCGCCTGGAGGCCGCAAAACCCTACAAATAACGGCAAAACATCCACTTCAGATCATCCTGCAACATTTCTTGGCATAAACCTTTTCAGACAACTTTCCTTTCACTTTCCTCACCCATTCATTTCCCTCACCCCTACAACAGACAGCTGCTAACAGGAAAAAGGAATCAACTTCATCAGCGTGTACATTCAATGCTGGATGTGAAGATACTAAATATTGCTTTATAATGCTTGTAATGCGGTCATGGATAACACGAGGCAGCTGAAACAGCATGGAACTCATCACAATTAACAGCCTGATTGGTGTCACCTTTTCAGAAATGGCAAAAGCCCTACTGGGGCCGGGTGCGGTGGCTCAAGCCTGTAATCCCAGCACTTTGGGAGGCCGAGGCGGGTGGATCACGAGGTCAAGAGATCGAGACCATCCTGGTCAACATAGTGAAACCCCGTCTACTAAAAATACAAAAAATTAGCTGGGCATGGTGGCACGTGCCTGTAATCTCAGCTACTCAGGAGGCTGAGGCAGGAGAATTGCCTGAGCCCAGGAGGCGGAGGTTGCGGTGAGCCGAGATCGCGCCATTGCACTCCGGCCTGGGTAACAAGAGCGAAACTCCGCCTCAAAAAAAAAAAAAAAAAAAAAAAAAGCCCTACTGGACCTTACTCTACTGGGCTTGGCAGAATATATTTGCAAAGAAGATTAGAAACATTTCTTGTTACTATTCGTTTAAAAATCACTTCCAGGCACTGGAACACACCTGTAATCCCAGCACTCTAGGAGGCCAAGGCAGGATCATCACTTGAGCCTAGGAGTTCAAGACTAGCCTGGGCAAAATGGCAAGACCCCATCTCTATAAAAAAATAAAAATAAAAATTAGCCAAGCGTGGTGGCGCATGCCTGTGGTCCCAGCTACCCCAGAGTCAGAAGGAGCGCTTCGGCCCAGAAGGTCAAGACTGCAGTGAGCTGTGCTCACACCACTGAACTCCAGCCTGTGTGACAGAGCAAAACTGTTTCAAAATGCAAAAAGTAAATAAAATTTTAAAAATCACTTCCTTATTTTTAACTACATAAATAACTTGGGCTGGGTCAGTGGCAAGCCCCTGTAGTCCCTGCCATTCTAGAAGCTGAGGCAGGAGGATTACTTGAGCCCAAGAGTTCAAGGCCGGCCTAGGCAACGTAGTGAGATCCCCGTCTCTAAATTACTTACACACACACACACACACACACACACACACACACTCTCTCTCCCTCTCTCTCTCTCTCTCTCTCTCTTAAGTTGGCTGGACCAATTTAGAAGCCCAAGAAGAGCTGATAATAGTCTCTTCGATCTCAACCTCACTAATAAGCCTTGTACCTCACCATTCTCACAGTACACATGAGTGAATAGCCATTAGGGCAAAGTCAGTATGAGAAATTAAGTATAAGGTTCCACGTCACGGTCTATGTCTGTGTTCCTTTGGACATCATCTACAGCTTTTTGTTCAACATGGAAATATATTTTTTAACACTTCCAAATCTCCCTGCCATAGGTTGACCAATTTGTCTCCTTGGAAAACTCAATTTAACTTGTCTTGCCACGTCTCAAAACAGAAAATCCAGGTGGTTTTATGGGAATACTTTTTGAGATGGAGTCTTGCCTCTTACCGCCCAGGCTGGAGTGCAGTGGTGAAATCTTGGCTCACTGCAACCTCCGCCTCCTGGGTTCAAGGAATTCTCCTGCCTCAGCCTCCAGAGTAGCTGGGATTACAGGCATGTGCCACCATGCTCAGCTAATTTTTGTGTGTGTATTTTTAGTAGAGACAGGTTTTTACCATGTTGGGTAGACTGGTCTGGAACTCCTAACCTCAGGCAGTCTGTTCACCTCAGCCTCTCAAAGTGCTGGGACTACAGGCGTGAGCCACTGTGCCCAGCCTAATTTTTGTATTATTAGTGAAGACAGGGTTTCACCATGCTGGTCAGGCTGCTCTTGAACTCCTGACCTCAGGTGATCCACCCGCAGCCTCAGCCTCCCAAAGTGCTGGGATTACAGGCGTGAGCCACCAAGCCGATTTTGTTTTCCTACTGCCTATGTAATTTACAGAATATGGGAAGACTTTTAACTACTGATTCAATTCCTTTATTGCTGATGAGTGGTCTAGTTTTGTTTCTTCATAAAGCAGTTTGGGTAAGAAACATTTTCCTTTTTTTTTTTTTGAGATGGAGTTTCACTCTTGTTGCTGAGGCTGGAGTGCAATGGCACGAGCTCGGCTCACCACAACCTCTGCCTCCTGGATTCATGAGATTCTCCTGCCTCAGCCTCCAGAGGAACTGGGATTACAGGCATGCGCCACCACACCCAGCTAATATTTTTGTATTTTTAGTAGAGACGGAGTTTTGCCATGTTGGCCAGGCTAGTCTCAAACTCCTGACCTCATGATCCGCCCGCCTCAGCCTTCCAAAGTGCTAGATTACAGGTGTGAGCTGACACACTAGACCATAAGAAATATTTTTCTAAGAATATATAGAACTTCGGCCGGGCACGGTGGCTCAAGCCTGTAATCCCAGCACTTTGGGAGGCCGAGGCGGGTGGATCACGAGGTCAAAAGATCGAGACCATCCTGGCCAACATGGTGAAACCCCGTCTCTACTAAAAATACAAAAAACCTAGCTGGGTGTGGTGGTGCATGCCTGTAATCCCAGCTACTTAGGAGGCTGAGGCAGGAGAATTGCCTGAGCCCAGGAGGCGGAGGTTGCGGTGAGCCGAGATCGCGCCATTGCACTCCAGCCTGGGTAACAAGAGCGAAACTCCGTCTCAAAAAAAAAAAAAAAAAAAAAAAAGAGATCGAGACCATCCCGGTCAACATGGTGAAACCCCGTCTCTACTAAAAATACAAAAAATTAGCCGGGCATGGTGGCGCGTGCCTGTAATCCCAGCTACTCAGGAGGCTTAGGCAGGAGAATTGCCTGAACCCAGGAGGCGGAGGTTGCGGTGAGCCGAGATCATGCCATTGCACTCCAGCCTGGGTAACGAGCGAAACTCTGTCTCAAAAAAAAAAATAAATAAATAAATAACAATCATAATAAAATTAAGGCCGGACGAGGTGGCTCATGCCTGTAATCCCAACACTGGGAGGCTGCGGTGGGCAGATCACGAGGTTGAACATGGTGAAACCTGTCTCTACTAAACAAGTACAAAAATTAGCTAGGTGTGGTGGCACGCATCTGTAGTCCCAGTTACTGGGGAGGCTTAGACAGGAGAATCACTTGAACCCGGGAGGCAGAGGTTGCAGTGAGCCGAGATCCCACCGCTGCACTCCAGCCTGGCAACAGAGTGAGACTCTGTTCAAAAAATTTAATAAATAAAAGGCCGGGTGAGGTGGCTCACGCCTGTAATCCCAACACTTTGGGAGGCTGAGGTGGGCAGGTCACCTAAGGTTGGGAGTTTGAGACCAGCCTGACCAACATGGAGAAACCCCATCTCTACTAAAAATAAAAAATTAGCCAGGCGTGGTGGCACATGCCTGTAATCTCAGCTAGGGAGGCCGAGGCAGGAGAATCGTTTGAACCCAGAAGCCGGAGGTTGCAGTGAGTGGAAATAGCAGCTTTTCACTCTAGCCTGAGCAACAAGAGCAAAACTCCATCTTAAAAAAAAAAAAAAAAAAAAAAAAATTCAAGAAAAAGACACTAATACCCAAACACCAGCTTAAGAGCAAGTCAAAACTCTAACCAGTCCAACTTTTTAAAGGTCTGTGTGCCTCCTGCAATAGCAGGTACTAACCAACTCAGATGACGTCAGTGTTGTAGAGACCATTTGTAATAGCGACACATCCCCAAACAAAGGATGTAGATCAGAAGGCAGAAAGTATCTCAATGGTTTAGCATCCTACCATTCTTTCAGAACGCACAACTACTAAATCAGGATTCTATCTTTAAGACTGATCAAAAATGTGTCCAAGTACTATAGATAGCAATTTTTTAAAAATCACTCCTTTTCTTTCTTCTCTCTTTAAATCTCAAAGTTTCTGAATATCTTTGCAGATCATTCCCTACCAGACTAAATTGATAACGAGTTTATGGAGGCAGGAGAACATTATTAGAGAAAATAAGTTTATGAGAATTAGGTGAAATTACAGAAAAAGGGAAGGCAGAGAAACAATAAGATGACAATGTTACTACAGTCCCTAGAGCGCAGTTGGAAGGAAACTGATGACAAAAGGTGAACTAAAATATTTATTTAGCAGGATGAAAACTCATTTGTCTCACATTGAAAGTGTGAGGATTCATTTGACCTGATTACTGAAATTCTTAACAAAACACTAATATGAACTCAACCCCAAAGAATAAAACCCCAGATTACACAGTATCATTCCAACAGCTGAAGTCTCATCCGCAGTAAGTTGCCCTTGCAACATAAAATGAAAAGCCAAAGCTCAATCTGTTCCTGTCCTCTGAACACATTATCTCACTAGAAAGATAACAGAAAGGGAGCGACCAGTTTTCCTAGGTCTATGCTACTCAAGTTCCCCGTCCTCCCCAGTAATCACCAATTTTTTTTTTTGAATCTTACCCAGTCTTTTTGACATTGTAAACCTGAAAGAAATGAGTTGCAACGGAATGTCATTTCCCATGCTTTCCCCCGAAGGCTCAGTTGCTGAGTGGGGCGTGCTTTTTGTTACCAAGTTCTCCCACCCCTGTGAGATATTGCTATTTCACGTGTCTTCGTAGCCCCACAAAATGGCTCCCTTTGTGCCACTTGGCCAAGACCCCGAGGCTAGCCACACATGAATGCAGGTCATAATCGATGTAAATACATGCTCAATAAAGTGGAATCGAAGCTTCCTCCAAGTCTTGAGGAGGATCCCAGATATGCCTGCAACCCACCTTAAAGAACAGTGTGCAATTAGCTGAGACAATGTGGACACACACCTTCCACAGAATCGAAACCCTTCCACCAAGTTAAGCAGGCACTTGCAAAAGGGTTCCTGTCCAAACACTGTGCCCAGTGCCTCAAGCCCAAAAAGCAGTGGAATGAAGGGCAAGAAAAATCCCCCGCTCCCCAGGTAGAGATACTACGTTAGAGACAATAGATGTCTCCGGCCCCGCCCAAGAACAAGAAACCTCCTCCTGCAAGGGAACCAGGGCCAGGGATGAACTCATTGGGCAAACGTCAAACGAGGAAGCGAAGAAGGTGGGATGCAAAGACCACGGTCCGAAGGTTTAAGCGCAGAAAACCCACTCGGGTTGGCTCGTTCCCCCTCCCTCTTAGAAATGGGCGCAGGGAGGGGGAGAAGGGGTCTTTCCTTTGTTAGGAAAGAGGAGGCACTTGGAAGAGGGGAGGCACTTCAAAGGGGACAAACGGTTGGGTCCTAAATGGGACTTAAGGGTCGCAATAATCAGCCCCACCCGACCACAAATCCACCTGCCAGGTAGATCCGAAGAGTCGGGGCACGGCGAGGGTAAGGAGCCGCCGGACCTGACGGATAGGGTCTCCAGATCCGATCGCTGCGCCCAAGCGCGATACCAACCGCATGCCCTGGGTCAGAAGCAGAAGGAGCGCGTGGCCCGGCGATGGGACAATAGGGCCTGACCATGGGGCCCTAAAGGCTCCCAGGGCACCTGGAGGGGCAAGCCCACCATCCTGGGTATGGACCAACCTGGACGCAGACAGGTAAAAAAGGAAGTCCTCCCGCAAGTTCCGATTAACCAAAACCGGCCGTGAACCGAGGGGCGACCAGCGCCGGCCTCCCAAGCCCCTGGCTCCGTGGGAGGAATGAATGGAGAGCAGCAGGGACCCGGGCGGGGCCGGCGCGCAGGGCTCGCCAGGCGGCACAAAGGCAGCGCCGGCGGCAGATCCCCGCCGCCCGCCCCGGCGCGAGCGCAGCCCACGGGGCTTGTTGCCCGCAACGACCGGCGCGCGGCCTCGCCGGCAGCGGCCCTCCCAGCCCCTCAGCCCCGCGCGGGTCGGGCGCGGTCGGATCGCCTCACCGGGAGCTATTCCTGCTGTTGGGGTCGACTCCCTTGAAGGTAGTGGTTGTGGTCATGGCGCCGAGAAGCGAGGTAGGCTGGCGCGGGAGCAGAACGCTCAAAGGGTCGGATCCTAGGGGCGCAGGAAAACTCCACACCCAACAGCCGGCCACTGCTTCAGGAGCCGCCGCCGCCGCCTCCTGTCCGGCGGATCGACGCCTTTATACGGTTTTAAGCCCCGTCCCCCCCATCCGCCGGAATTGGCCGGTTCAAATGGCTCCGTTCGTTCCTATTGGTTCTCTGGAGTGCCAAGCACCGTGCAACATTACGATGGGTTGTGGCGCGCAAGGCTCAGCCTAAGCCCGCCCCCTTCCTGGGCAGGGAAGCCTTGGGACGCTCTCCCCTCCCCCACTCCAAAATCTCGGCGATGATTGGACAGAAGGCGAATCTGCCTCGCGCTGGGTACAAGTCGTGCTGGCTGTCACTTTAAAACGTTACCTGTTCACAGGGAGAAGCTCTTTCTTGGGGAGTTACAACCTCGTCAAGCAGAAGGGAGATTTGTCACTATTACTATTCTCACATTGCTTTACTGATGGTGGGATAGTCAGGGCATCCTCCTTAAGGGATGAAAAGTACTGCAACAAGTTGACATTTATTTATTGAATACCTACTGTGGGTCCCATTCAGAAACCTAATAGTCTCAAAGCAGCAGCAGTATGAGTCAGCAACAGAGAGCACGCCAAGATGATCCCTTTTAAAAGGACTGGAAATTCTTTACATTTTAATGTTACTGTTTAGCTGTAATGGGTGGTGCATGTACTGGACGAAAATTACAGTCGCTCCTATTTGGGAGCCTATTATAAGGCTGGTTAATGCCTGGCAGCAGGAATGGCTTCATTCCCTGCTACCAACACTATGGGAGCAGCTCAGTCCTCTGCAGCTGTTTATAACCCTTAAGTCATGACTCTTCCACCTGTCTGGGTAAATCTATCTATGCAACAAATGCGGACACACTTGGAGGGCTCAGGAATGATGGTTTACAAGATCATAATAGGAAAGCCTTGGGCAAAAGAGGGCAGGCAGTTGATAAATAAGCCCCTCTCATGTCTTGCATACTTCCTCAAGGCAGATGTCTTTGTTTGTCTCAATATTTCCATAACTGAACTACATTCCTCTTTGCAAAGCCACCTTCCAGGTAGTTGGAACTTTGTATTCTGGGCAGTCTAGGTTAACCACCCTCTCCCTGGGCTTTCACGAAAAGGCAGTGAGAGGTTCTCTTCTAGAAAGCATGGGTCTTGCATGTATGTGCTTACCACAACAGCATGAAGCACACCACTTCTGTTAGAATCTTCCCTTTTTTTTTTTTTTTGCCTTTTGTTTTTGAGATGGAGTTTCACTCTTGTTGCCCAGGCTGGAGTGCAGTGGCACTCGCTGCAACCTCCGCCTCCCAGGTTCAAGTGATTCTTGTGTCTCAGCCTCTCGAGTAGCTGGAACTACAGCTGCGCACCACTGCATCCGGCTAATTTTTGTATTTTTAGTAGAGACAAGGTTTGACCATGTTGGCCAGACTGGTCTCAAACTTCTGACCTCAGGTAGTTCACCCTCCTCAGCCTCCCAAAGTGCTGGCATTACAGGCATGAGCCACTGCGCCTGGCCAAAATCTTCCCATTCTTTTTTTTTTTCCTTAGATGGAGTTTGGCTCTTTTGCCCCGACTGGAGTGCAATGGTGCAATCTCAGCTCACTGCAACCTCCGCCTCCCAGGTTCAAGTGATTCTCCTGCCTTGGCCTCCTAAGTAGCTGAGATTACGTTACAGACAAGTGCCACCATGCCCAGCTAATTTTGTGTTTTTAGTAGAGATGGGGTTTCTCCTTGTTGGTCAGGCTGCTATCGAACTCCTGACCTCAGGTGACCGATTCGCCTCAGCCTCCCAAAGTGCTGGGATTACAGGCATGAGCCACCACACCCAGCCAAATCTTCCCATTCATAAATGCTGAGCATAAATTTCCAAAACCCTAAAACAAAACAAAATCAGACCAATGTAGCCAGGGAGCATGCCCTCCTCAGAAATCATGTAATTATCAACTACGAGGTAGTGGAGTCTAGTGGTTGCTAGCTCAGACTCTCAAGGGAGAAATTTGGATTGGAATCTCAACCCTTACCCTTTCTGAGCACTAATTTCCTCCTTTCTGAAATAAACACACAATAGTACCTGGGCTCCATAGAGTTTTGAAAACTAAATGAGTTCATACATTATCAGACTTATCTAGAAAGTAATCACATACTTGTTTGTATGTTAAATGAGGGGTTTGGACTTGACTCCCAGGGTCCTTTTGCTCATGTTGTACTTATTCCTTGCAGCCTAGTAGAAAACGGCTTGGTATGGCAATGCTGCAATAGATTAGAAGTCAAAAGACCTAAGTTCTAGTTTTGCCCTTTCCCAATATAAGACACTGGTATGTCATTTATGCTGTCAAGCTTCAATTTTCCTATCTATAAAATGGGATTGGCCGGGTGTGGTGGCTCACGCCTGTAATCCAAGCACTTTGGAGGCCAAGGCTGGTGGATCACCTGAGGTTGGAAATTGAAGACCAGCCTGACCAACATGGTGAAACCCCATCTTTAAATAAATAAATAAATAAAATACAATAAAATAAAATGGGATTGCAGGCTGGGCACAGTGCCTCACGCCTGTAATCCCAGAACTATTGGGAGGCTGAGGCTTGTGGATCACGAGGTCAGGAATTCGGAGACCAACCTGGCCAATATGATGACACGCCATTTCAACTAAAAATACAAAAAATTAGCTGGGCATAGTGGCGTGTGCCTGTAGTCCCTGCTGCTCAGGAGGCTGAGGCAGAAGGATCGCTTGAACCCGGGAGACGGAGGTTGCAGTGAGCTAACGCCACTGCACTCCAGCCTGAGTAACACAGTGAGACACTATCACACACACACACACACACACACACACACGAATGTATATGCTAAACTAAAACTTTCTATTAGAGGTGCCCCATACTAGCTGCACATCAGAATCAGCTATGAGATTTTTGGAGGATACAAATGAATAACAGGTCTCAGCCCAAGATCTAGTAAATTGCAATTTCTGGGGTGAGGGTTTAGTCATGGATATCTTTAAAATGCTACACAGGGGCCGGGCGCGGTGGCTCAAGCCTGTAATCCCAGCACTTTGAGAGGCCGAGGCGGGTAGATCATGAGGTCAAGAGATCGAGACCATCCTGGTCAACAAGGTGAAACCCCGTCTCTACTAAAAATACAAAAAGTTAGCTGGGCATGGTGGTGCGTGCCTGTAATCCCAGCTACTCAGGAGGCTGAGGCAGGAGAATTGCCTGAACCCAGGAGGCGGAGGTTGCGGTGAGCCGAGATCGCGCCATTGCACTCCAGCCTGGGTAACAAGAGCGAAACTCCGTCTCAAAAAAATAAATAAATAAAATAAAATGCTACACAGGTAATTCTCACTTACAGCTTGAGCTGAGAACCTTTGCTACAAAGGTAAGGAATCAGTCCTTGGAGAATGCTTCTAATCTAATCTGATTTATGAATAAGAGCAAATGTATGTGAAACAAACAAGTGAGTAAGACTGTTGGCCTATTTGACGTATTTGTTTTTGTTTTTGTTTTTGTTTTTGAGACGGAGTTTCACTCTTGTTACCCAGGCTGGGTGCAATGGCGCGATCTCGGCTCACCACAACCTCCGCCTCCTGGGTTCAGGCAATTCTCCTGCCTCAGCCTCCTGAGTAGCTGGGATTACAGGCACGTACGACCATGCCCAGCTAATTTTTTGTATTTTTAGTAGAGACGGGGTTTCACCATGTTGACCAGGATGGTCTCGATCTCTCGATGACGTATTTGTTTAAGTTCTCAAGTTATCCAAAAAAAATCTAAGGAAAAACAAGAAAGATTAATTCTGATGATAAGGAATGGTCTAACAGCTAGTTTGTGACCTATAGCAGTGTTTCTGAAACTTTTTTTTGAGACAGTTTTGCTCTATTGCCCAGGCTGAAGTGCAGTGGCACAATCTCAGCTCACTTCAGCCTCCACTTCCTGGCCTCAAGGAATTCTCCCACATCAGCCTCCTGAGTAGCTTGGACTACAGGCACATGCCACCACACCTGGCTTCTTTTGTTGTTGAGGCAGTCTTGCTATGTTGCTCTGACAGCTCTCAAACTCCTGGCTCCAAACAATCCTCCCACCTCTGCCTCCGTCACTGTGCCCAGCCTCTTGAACTTCTTTTTTTTTTAAATAAATAAAGACGGGGTTTCACCACATTGGTCAGGCTGATCTTGCACTCCTGACCTCAGGTGATCTGCCCGCCTTGGCCTCCAAAGTGCTTGGATTACAGGCGTGAGCCACCACACCCAGCCTTGAAACTTCTAATGAAAGCAAAACCAACATATATAAAGTAGATTAATAGCAAAGCAGCTGTGATTACAAATGGGCAGAGGGTCCCAGTCCTGGCCCTCTCTCTCCTGTCCTCTGTCGCCTTTTTCTTGACTGTCCTCCTAAAAAAAATCGCAGGTTTCCATAAGATTTCACTTTTATTTTATTTTTAAGATAGAGTCTCGCTCTGTAGCCCAGGCTGGAGTGCAATGGATCTCGGCTGACTGCAACCTCTGCCTCCTGGGTCCCGGTTCAAGCAATTCTCCTACCTCAGCCTCCCGAGTAGCTGGGATTACAGGCACAAGCCACTACGCCTAGCTAATTTTTGTATTTTTTATTAGAGAAAGGGTTTCATGGCTGGGCGCGGTGGCTCACGCCTGTAATCCCAGCACTCTGGGAGGCCGAGGCGGGTGGATCATGAGGTCAAGAGATGGAGATCATCCTGGTCAACATGGTGAAACCCCATCTCTACTAAACATACAAAAAATTAGCTGGGCATGGTGGCACGTGCCTGTAATCCCAGCTACTCAGGAGGCTGAGGCAGGAGAATTGCCTGAACCCAGGAGGCGGAGGTTGCGGTGAGCCGAGATCGCGCCATTGCACTGCAGCCTGGGTAACAAGAGTGAAACTCCGTCTCAAAAAAAAAAAGAGAAAGGGTTTCATCATGTTGGCCAGTCTGGTCTTGAACTCCTGACTTCGTGATCCACACGCCTTGGTCCCCTAAAGTGCTGGGACTACAGGTGTGAGCCACGTGTTCCCGGCCAAGATTTTACTTTAAAACCACTGCTATGGCTGGGTGCAGTGGCTTACGCC